TATTATATACTTCGAGCAGGATTGCCGCACATAGACATCCAAAGAGACGACATATCAATTGGTCTGCAAAGCTTCCGTTGCATGTCTGGGAATGAATTCAAACATTTTGTTTCTTGTTTATTGTTCTTCTTGCCGGTGCACCTTCATCATTATTTCACTACTAAGAAATCGCATGAACAAGGCGTCCGGACAAATAGTGAAACATCCAACTAATATCGGATAGCTGGACTTAGGAGGAGCATTGAAACGGTAGTCTGCTGGTTCGGATGATTTTTGGTAATGGTCGCACGGCGAAGTACAAACAGCAGCAAAGATATCCTCGAACAAATCCCACCAGCCTTTTAGGGCGTAGGTGGTTCAGGACGTTTCCTCTTCCACCTCTTTTTCTTCCCCTTCGGGGAAGGGTTTACCCCTCCCACCTCCCACCCCCTCCCCTGGACCTGGACGGGGGGGTCCGCGGGTAGTTGGAGCGTCTAAAACGGCTTCCGCGAGGAAGCAATAACCATTGGTTTTACTACGATTTTGGCCTGGAGGGGGGGGGCCCTAATCAAGGACCCCCCCTTCTTTGATCGATCTCCTCCGAGATGGCCCCAAGAGCGCTCCCAAGGCTCTCAAGGGTGCCCCAACAGGGCCCCAAGAGGTGGCACAGAGGCCCCACGAGGCCCCCAAAGCGCCTGGGAGAGCCCAAGATGACCTCCAAGATGGCTCAAGATATCCCAAGATGCCTTTGAGATGGCTCCCACGATGCTCCAAGAAACCCCAAGACCGCTCCAAGACGGCTCCAAGTTGTCAAAGAGCTCCCCCAGGAGGCTCCGAAGAGGCCCACATCCTTCCAGAACCCTAATTAGGACAATCCATGTTTTTGGTTTTCTCGCCTTTTCGCTTCCGATGGCCATCCGAGGCCTCAAAATGGCTCCAAAATGGCCCACGAGGGCTCCAAGAGAGGCTCAAGAGAGCCCCAAGACGGCCCCAAGAGCGCCCAAGAGCGCTCCAAGAGCGCCCCAAGAGCGCCCCCAGAAGCGACTTTATTGGGCTCCCGAGGGGCAACGCTAATTCATGCTCCCCTCTTGTTTGATCGATGTCCTCCAAGATGGCCCCAAGAGCGCCCCCAAGGCCCCCAAGAGGGCCCCAAGAGGCGCCCAAGAGGCCCCAACGGGCGCCCAAGAGTCCTCCGAGAGGCTCCCAAGAGACCCCCAAGAGGCCCCAAGACGCTCTCCGACCCACCCAAGACGCTCTAAAGAGTGTCTGGGACCGCCAAGAAGCATCACATACGCTCCAAGAGGCCTCCACTGGGGACCCTTCCTCTGTGTGCTGCCCACTTCCCGATCGAGGCAATTCCTCTGGGCATCGTTTCTGGATGGGCTGGTGGGGTTACTTTTTTGGTCGGCGGCTCCGAGGCAACGGACAGGGAGCGGAAGCGGCGTCCGGGACACGGTACGGGGCTAATTTGCAAGACAATTGCCGCCAGGCTGGTGGGGTTACTCGAAGCGTCTAGAATTGAGTGGGATTGGCACGCAATTACCACTGCGTACAACCAGGGGTACTCGAATCAACAACAACCGATATAATATTCATTTTCAACAAAAATGAGTTTCAACATTTGTTAGATATGTCTGTTGCGCACATCGGGCTTTTTTGACATTGCATGTGTAATGCTTGTTCGATGGCGGAAGACAAAACGAAGCCACGTACACGAGAAATATGCATACTCTCACCAGAAAAGTTTTGCTTTCAAGCAGTTTCTGTTATTTTTCCCGTATGCAGCAGCGGATGAAGACAGCGACGACGGTGCGACATTTAAAACAATTATAGCCCTGAAACTTCTACGTCGAGGGCCAGCGGTGGTGGCGGAGAAAGATAGGAGGTCTTGGCTCCAGAAAAGTGGAGGGCCAAGGATCAACATTCGTGTTGCAGACCGTTGTGCGAAACAAATTTCGCTGGACTCCATTCTGGCCACATAGTGTTCTTACTCTCTCGGCGGCCCTTGTTCTACCTACTTATACTCTTTTCCTCCTCCTCCTCCTGGCCCTCGTCTTCCTGCTATTCCTACCCTACTACTACTGCTACTACAGAGTACCTGCTGCTGCTGCTGCTACTACTACTACTACTTCTACTACTACCACTACTACTACTACTACTACTACTACTATGACTACTACTACTATTACTACTACTACTACTGCTACTACTACTACTACTACTACTACTACTACTACTACTACTACTACTACTACTACTACTACTACTACTACTACTACTACTACTACGACTACTACTACTACTACTACTACTACTACTACTACTACTACTACTACTACTACTACTACTACTACTACTACTACTACTACTACTACTACTACTACTACTACTACTACTACTACTACTACTACTACTACTACTACTACTACTACTACTACTACTACTACTACTACTACTACTACTACTACTACTACTACTACTACTACTACTACTACTACTACTACTACTACTACTACTACTACTACTACTACTACTACTACTACTACTACTACTACTACGACTACTACTACTACTACTACTACTACTACTACTACTACTACTACTACTACTACTACTTACTACTACTACTACTACTACTACTACTACTACTACTACTACTACTACTACTACTACTACTACTACTACTACTACTACTACTACTACTACTACTCTACTACTACTACTACTACTACTACTACTACTACTACTACTACTACTACTACTACTACTACTACTACTACTACTACTACTACTACTACTTACACATATATATACATAAGTGCGGTGCAAGCGATGTGGTTCGCGGCAGCGACGGCGGCGGCGATGGTGCGGCGATGGCGACGGCGGCGACGGGCGGCACGGGCTGCCTGCGACGGCCGCCCCTGATCCCGAGACGAGCGGCGGCAGCGAACGGCGAGGGGCGGCACCGCCCGCAGAAGCCAGCGGAACAAGTGACACGCGCGCCCTGGCTCTTGCACCAAGGAGCTGCGAGAGACAGGAGGCTTTCGCCCTCTTCCTCCAGGAGTTTACTCTTGTGGCCAGGGGGGAAGGACGAAGGACGAACGAGCGAACGACGACGACGACGAAGGACAATGAAGAGGTCCGAGCTCTAGAGCACAGTTGTGCAAGATAATGAACAGTCTCAGGCTCACGCCACACCGCCGACCCCTTGGGAATTAGCAAATGTTGCGTGTTGCTCCTGATGGCGTCTTGTGCGCTTTTTGGGGGGTTATTGGAGTTCTTTTGGGGGTTCACCGGGACCTCTTGGGGGCCTTTTCGGGGGACATTTTCACTAGTCGCTGTGCACGCATGGGGAAACGGGCAAGGACCCACGTATACAGACGGCGGGTATCTGTCGAAACACCCGAAGAATGAGTATCGAATGGCCTTCGGCACAGCCCGCCACCGCCCTTGGGTTGCGGGTATGAGGCCACTCGGATGGCTGATGGGGTCGCGTGGGAGGCGTCTGGGGGCGTCTTGGAGGGAACCTCTCGGGGGTCTCCTGGGGACCGCTTGGGGGCTGTTGGCGGCCATCTTGGGGCTCCCTGGGGAGGTAGACTCGACATGTCCGTTTGGATTCCCCCTCTGGGCCCCCTCTTGGAGCTCTCCTGGGGCCTCCTGGGCCGTCTTGGAGGCTTCTTGGGCTCTCTTGGGACCCTCTTGGGTCGTCTTGGATCCCTCTTGGGGACCTCTTGGCCCGTCTTGGGGCGATCTTGACGGCCTCTTGGGCCGCCTGGGACGTTGTGAACACCCAAGAGGCGAATGTGCTAAACATATACGTTTTACAAAGGTAGTGTGGCGATTTTTGCTTCTGGAGGCCCTGGGCTTCTGTGGGACCCCCCGTCCAAATCGACCAGACCAGCCCTTTGGGGCCTTAAGTGGAGCTTCCCATGGACCTACGAAACTATTGAGGGGTGTGCCGAAGTAGATGGGGCGGCCGCATGCATGTGGTACGGCAGCAAGAAGTTTCAGGGGTGTGCCGAAATGGGTGGGGCGGACTCATGTGGTAAACCCCCTTGGGGCCTCAGGTGGATCTGTGAGGGGGGGGGGGGGGCGACATTGATGGGGCGGCTGCACGTGGTACAACCCCAAGGAGCCTTCGGTGGAGCTCCATGTGGGGACGCGAAACGTGTGTAGGGTGTGCCGAATTGGGTCGGGCGGCCGCATGTGGTACACCCCCATGGGGCCTTCGGTGGAGCCCTCTACTTGTGGCGTCCAAGACCTGCATAGCGGAGCAGTCCAAAGCGAGCGAAAGCGTGTGGAAGACGCTTGCAAGGACGCTAGAAAGGATGTCTGGGGAGCTTGCAGGCTCGAGAAAGGAGGTTCCCCGGAGCTTCTGAAACGCTTCGAGTGAGCTGCGGAAACGCTTGCGGCACGCGTATTGGGAACGAGTAGAAAACGCTTTCGGGACACGCTGCAATCTCACAGGATCCGCTGCGGAGATCCTGGATCGGCGCCAGAAAGAGCTCCGGAGCTACTGTGTGTTGCCGGCTTCTAATCTCGAACACTCTTAGCCCTCAGAGAGCTATCCGGGGCCACGAAGCCTTTGAGGGGTGTGCCAAAAGGGGTTGGGCGGCCGCATGTGGTACACCCCCTGGAGCCTTCGGTGGAGCCACGAGACGCCTGAGGAAGGGGTGCGCCGAAATAGATGGGGCGGCCGAATATGGGACACCCCCCTGGGGCCTTCGGTGGAGCTCCCTATGGGGCCACGAAGCGTGTGAGAGGTGCCGACATGGGTGGGGCGGCCGCATGTGATACCCTCCCCTGCGGCCGCAGGTGGAGCTCCCCAGAGAGCCACGAAGCGCTGTTTTGGGTTTGCCGAACTGGTTGACATGCGGAGAGCAGAAATAAGGAGTGGGAGGAGCGGGAAGCGGGAGGGGGCAGGAAGGAAGGAAGGAAGCAAGGATACGCGGGGCGCTGTCTCTTCGAAACGAGAGCCCGACACCACAGGACGGCCGGGCAAAACTCAAGACTCCTTTTCTCACGACCGTAGAGGCCTCCAAGATGGGGTCGGAGTAGATGGGGTCGAAGCATCGCGCCACATCGCCGATGCATCGGCGACACATCGGCGATGCATCGGCGACGCATCGCCGATGCCTCGGCGATGCGCCGGCGACGTCGCCGACGCATCGGCGACATCGGAATGGAGAAAACCGGGCCCCACGTCGAGCCGCATCGCCGATGCATCGCCGATGCATCGGCAAGGCGGCACGACCCTCCGACCCCACCTGCTCCGACCCCATCGGGGAGGCCCAGAGACCGCTTGGCCTCACGGCGAACTTACGCGCACACCTCCTCCGGAGCGAGCTCCCGCAGCCTCCGATCGCTCTCCCGCTCGGGGCGGAAGCGGGTGCGACAGGCCTGGCAGATCGCCGGGGCGTCGGAGCAGTACGGGGCGAGGCAGCACGAGCACACGAAGGCCACCTCTTGCGGCTCGCCGTGGCACGCGCACACCGCGGCCAGGCTCGGCGCGTCCTCGGTGGCGTTGAGCGCGCCGCGCACGGCGACGCCGGGCAGGAAGTGGAAGAGCAGCGCGGGCGCCAGGACCTCCGCCAGGGGCTCCCCCGAGCTCGCGGCGGGCAGCGCCAGGTGCCTGCCCCCCGACAGCGCCGCGGCCTGCCGCAGCGCCGCGGAGGGCGCGGGGCCCAGGGAGAGGCAGTCGACGGGCACGCCTGCCGCCCGTGCGGCGTAGGCGCAGCTGATGATGGCGGCGCTCTGCGCGGCCAGGTCGGCCTCCCCCCGCGAGCAGTCGATCGCCAGGACGCGGGGCCGCAGCGCGGGGTCCTCACGCTGCAGGCGGTTGGCGTAGCAGAGGGCCAGGGACAGGCCCAGCGCGAACTGCGGGGCGCCGTCGCAGGCGTGCTCCTCCAGGCACAGCTGGGCGCACGCGGGCCGCGCTGGGGCCCAGTCCGCCTCCGCGGCGCGCCCCTCGGCCAGCAGCCGCACGGCCCGAGAGCTCGCGCCGAACAGGCACGCGCGGTTGTCGGCCCCCACCGCTCCGTGGGCGCGCAGCAGCACCAGCAGCGAGTCCCAGAGGCAGAACAGCGCGGGCACCTCCGCGGACGACTCCGCCGCGAGCCTCGCGTCCAGCACCGCCACCAGCAGCTCCGGGCCGGTCGCCGGGGCCGCGCGGGGCTCCCCGCGCTGCTCGCCCGCATCGGGCAGCGCCCGCTTCATGTTGCCCCCCAGGGCCAGCTGCCAGCTCGCGCGGGGCCTCTCACACCCACAGGTCCGATGCCGCGAGGGCCCCCCTAGAGGCCGAAGGCGGCGCTCGACTCGCGTTCTGATCCTTCGATCCTGGCTCGTCGGAGATCGGGGGGAAGCGCAGAGATACCGACGCCGCTGCTCTCCACCTCCAGGGGTGTCTGTTCTGACCGGGACGTCGGGGCGAGTCCGACTCGTGGCGACATGGGGCCTCCCGGGAGGCCCCAAAAAGGCCAACACGAGGCGAGGAGGACGGCATCGGTCTCCTGTCCTCCTGTGAGAGGTCTGACACCCTGGGCGCAGCACCGCCGCGGCGCGGCGCCCCGCCGAGCCCGCGGGAAGCGGGGCAAGCGCGCGGAGCGCCACGCCCGCCGCGGGCGCCTGCGGCTGCGAGCGCAGGCCCCTGCGCTCCCCGCGCGCGCGCGTGGCCGCCCGCGCGCGGGGGGGCGCGGGGGCAGCGGCGCTGGAGCAAGCGCGGGCAACGACCGCGGACCTTACGCGCCTAAGCAGCCTCGAGCTTCCTCCTCCTCCTCCTCCTCCTCCTCCTCCTCCTCCTCCTCCTCTCTCCCTCGGACTGGCACGCCAAAAAAGGCGATGGCGGTCTTGGGGACGTGGCCTGGAAAACGGAGGGAGTCCTTAAGATCGGCATCGAGATGAGGCGATGCCGATCACAGGGATAGAGCTATGTCCCAGGCTCACAGATATCCTGAGGCTCGGGCGTTGAATTCATCCTCGCACCAAGCGGCTTCGTCCAAATTCGGGCCCCGGGGGCCTTCTCATTTTTTCGATCCGGCTCGATGGCTGCAACAAGTAGAAACAATTTCGGAAACCCTGGTCGTGATTTGTTCATTACTTTTGCTATGTATTCCGCGACGTCGGACCTCAGGGCAGTTGTCTGCGAGGGCGCACCTGCGACTGTGAGTCTGGCCCAACACTTCCTGGAAACGTGGGAACTAGCAACAAGACCGCTCAACACACGAGAACTCGTTGGGGGTTCCGCAGCACCCTTGAAACATTCGCCAGCGAGTGTCGGACCACGCTCCTCACGCGCTCCCACGACTCCGGGTCCCCAGAATCACCCGAGGCGCCATGCGAACCTTGCCACCGGGGCCTTCGGTGGAGCTCCCCATGTGGCCACGAAACGCGTGAGGGGTGCGCCGAATTGGGGCGGGTAACCATGCGAACGCAGCAATGGCAACTGGGGCCTTCGGTGGAGCTCCCTATAGGGCCACGGAGCGTGTGAGGGGTGCGCCGAAACGGGGCGGGCGCTAACGCGGACCTGCCGTTTGGGCCTTCGGTTGAGCTTCCTGTGGGGCTGCAAAACGTGCGCGGGGTGTGCCGAAATGGAGCGGGGCACCATGCGAACGCAACCACTGGTGCCTTCCGTGAGGCTACCTCTGGGGTCACGAAACGTTTGAAGGGTTGCGCCGCAATGGGGACGGGGCGCCATACAAACGCAGCCACTGGTGCCTTCAAACGAGTGAGGGGTGTGCAAAAATGGGGCGGGACACCATGCGAACGTAACCACTGGGGCCTTCGGTGGAGCTCCCTGTGGGGCCACGAAACGTGTCAGGGACGTGCCGCAACAGCGACGGGGCAACATGCGCACACAGCCAGTGGAACTACGTATGGGGTCATCAAACGTGTGAGGGTTGCGCCGCAATGCGACGGGGCACCATGCGAACGCAACCGCTGGGGCCTTCGGAACAGCTCCCTGCGGGGCTACGGAACGTGTGAGGGCTGTGCCGACATGGGGGCGGAGCACCTTGCGAACGCAGCCACTGGGGCCTTCGGTGCAGCTCGTTTTCGGGTCACGAAACGTATGAGGGGTGCGTCGAAAGGAGGCGGATCACCACGATGACGATAAAGAGGACGATGGTGATGATGATGCTGATGATGGTGACGATGATGACTATGATGATGCTGATGATGGTGGTGCTGCTGATGATGATGGTGATGAACGTGCTGGTGGTGCGGAACATGATGATGGATGTGGTGGTGATGGTGTTCATCTGTGATAGGTGGTGATGGTGATGGTGATGGCGATGGTGCTGGTGAGCCCTTCCCTTCCACGAGCGTGGCCAAACAAATGTTCATTCTTGAAATACCGTATCTCTCGATAGGTGCAGCGGTTGAATTCACAGCACTTCGAAGCCTATGACCCCCTTGTTGAATTAAAAACCTTTGGCGAAGACCCTGCCACCCAGGGCAAGCGCGGAAAGAACTTGAACCGAGTTTGGTCGGAGCCGAAGACAGGCCACGGAAAAGGGCAAAAAGGCAATGCGTTCCAGAACAGACTGAGCCCTTTCCCTCCCCGGACTTAGCCAAACATATTTTCTTCCTTGAAAAACCGTCTCCCTCGGTGGGTGCATCGGTTGACTTCGCATCGCAGTGGAACCTGTCGTCCCCGAAACCGCCCGCATTGGCCCCTGGCCCATGTCAGCAAACAAAGTGGAACAAACTATCGATCTGAATGCTGTCAGCGGCCGCTCCGAGATGAATGCTGATGCGAGCGGTCGGTCAGAGACCGCCCCAGGAAGACGAGCGGCGATTTACAAGGGGTCGCAACACGGCCATGGCAAATGTAACCCTCAAAGTTAAACTCGGGCCCACCGACGGCCGCCAAGATTTTGGGCACCCCATGGCGGCCCGGAGAAGAAAGACTACACAGGGCCACTTTGGAGGGACACCAGAAATCGAGATACTCACGGACTAGATTGGGCTGATCACCGCCTGGGCTGATTGCAATCGCTGGACACCCAGCGAAGCAGGCAGCTTAAACAATCTTTCGAGCGTTCAAGGTGCATTGGCGGATGGCCGAGCGCAGGTCGTTGCTGGCATATCGTATGTGATAGGCACCGGAGTCAGCCAGGGTTGAACTGATACCCCGTGCCACGCGGGAGGCGACCCACCTCGCGAGCATTTTTCTCACGACGCCCGTATCACGCAAATTTGGCAATCACTCACGACGCCGAGTGCTCAGCATTCTCACTGCATCTCTTCGTCATTTCACCCTTTGAGAAGCCGACCGACTTCGAGGAAGACCTGGCCTTTTGGTTTCTGGCAGCCACAACGGAGGCCTCTGGGCAACTGTCGCGCAAGGTCTGCGGCGCACTTTGCGGCGAGAAGGCAAGGGCCTCGAGGGTGTCCATGCCGTTCAGAAGGCCCGCCAGCCGCTCGTGGATCAGCTCGCTCCACTGGGCCACGGCTTGCGGCGCGTCGTTCAGCAGGGCGAGGTGGCGGATGTGCTTGGCGTGGCGCAAGCTGCTGTGCGGGTTCATGTGGCGGAGCCGCTCGGTGAACGAAATCAGTGGCAACTGGTCGACCGCGGCCGCGTGGCTCGCGGCGCACCTGGTAAGCCGCGGCCGCAGGGGCCCCAAGCACGGTCGCCAGCTGCTCCTCGAAGCGCTTGGTGGACAACGGGCCGTCGAACGACCCGCGCAGGCAGCTGGGTGTCCGCGTGCTCCGCCGCCGCTTCAAAACCACCCCGCCCTTCGAGCCCAGCGATGCTCTCGCAGGACAACCCCCTCGTCGGCTCCCATGATCTTGCTCCTGGCCTCCTCGTTGCTCGGGTGCAGCACCGAGGCGGCCCGCGAGGGCCTTCGCGGTCACGCCCGCCCGTTCCGACGGCAAGCGAAGCATGCCGTCCCAGGCCATCCGCGGAGCCGTCGCGAACTCCAGGTCCTTCAACGACAGGCTGACCCACGGGCGGCGCAAGGACTCGCGGGAGTTCCCGTGCGCCCGACGGCGGAAACCCGCCGACGCAGCCAGGGTGCCTCTGGGAAATTGCCGTGCTTGGCGGAGCCCAGGTTCGGCCGCAGCTGCTGCGGAGCCGCCGGGGGCCCCGGGCCCTCGCCGACCTTTATCCCGTCGAAGAAGAGCGCGTCAATGTTCTTCGCGGCGAGCTGGTCGAAGCGAGGTCCGAGATCTCGCGCGGCGACCCCATCGTCGGCGCGCTCGAGGAAGTCGCACGCCCGCTTCCCGAAGGGCGTGGCGCGTCGATGGCTGGACCTGGTCTGCAAGAAGCCCAGCCCGAGCTCGACGTGGCCCCGTGTGTCGTGATGGCGGACGGCTCTGGCCGAAGATCGCTGCAATCTTGGGGCCTCGGCTCTCGTCAACGGGCGCGCCCTCCGTCGCGCCGTCGCTGTTGGGGGAGGTGTTGGACTCGGTGTGCCCGATGCCGGTGGCGAAGCCGCTGCCGCCCATCAAGTCCGTCTGCGATGCCGCGCGGCTGGGCAGCGCCCTCGGCGGCGGGGTCGAGGCGAGGGCGGTCGCATTCCTCGGCGTCGCCGAGGAAGCAGGCGCCCCCCCCGCGTCGCGCCAGACCGCTGCATCGCCGTAGGCGCGGGCGAAGGCCGCGGCAGCGAAGCTCCGCGCTTGTCGGCCTGGGGCCCGCCAGCATGGCGCCGATCGCTGTCGTGGGGGGCTGGCTAGCGGTCTATGCTACGACTGCCCTTGTCATCTGAATTAAGCTCCCCTGGGGGCCGCCGAACGGCCGCGGAGATTCCCTGCAGGACTCAACGCCGCCAACTCCCTGCGCGTCTGGCCCGGCGCCAATTACAACGGCGGTCCACTTTCCAGAGCCAAGGCCAGGCTCAGGTTGCCACGCAGACTAAGGGGTGAAATTTGCAAGAGCCGATGCGCCGCGCAAGCGGTGCCGCGGGCCCGTGATCAGCGCGCGCCCCTTCAAGCGCGTGCGCCCGGCGCGTGGCGTCGAGCCTCCGCTGCGCCCTCGGTCTAGTAGCGCCGCCGCCCCCCTCTCCGTGGCGGCGACGCCCCCGGCGCCCGTCGGTGTCGCCCGAGCCCGTCGAGGCATCCGCGGCTAAGACCACGGGGTCGACTGCCAGCTTGGCGTCCATGTAGGCGACGGCGACGAGGGAAGCCGCGACGCGGCGCTCCGCGCGGACCTCGAGCCATGGCCGCCGACGGCGTGAGCCCGCGGCCCGTGCGAAGCGGTGGGCTCTGTGGAACGCGCTCGGCAGGCAGCGCCTGAGGCTGGCGGCCCACCTGCAGTGCCCCAGGAGCGACAGCATGCCTCGCCGCTGCAGGACTCGCGCTCGGCAACCTCGAGCAATGCCAAGCGCGGGCGCCGTGCGCGGCTCGCGCCCGCGGAGGTGAGGCCCGTTTCGAAGTCGGAGGTGGGCCCCGTGAGCTTCCGGTCCAGATCGGCAATGTGCGCGCCCCTGCGCTTCGAGTTGCTGGGCTCCAACTACCAGTGCGCCTGCTGGGTGGTGGCGTCGACGGCCTGATGGCCGCGCCCAACGGCCGCAGCCCCGTCCGCGTGCGCAACCGCGCCAACTTTGGGGGGCGCGTCGGGCACCGCGCGCCGAGCCTGGATGACGCGGTGCTCGCTGGCTCCCGCGGCGACCGCCTGGGCGACCACCGACGCCTGCCAGGCGAGCAGGCCCCAGCTCCACCCCGTGGGCAGCGTGGCGAGCAACGGCGAGACCTTGCCACTCCGCCGCGAGCCGACGCGCACGCCCGACCTCGCCTCGAACGAGGCCCCACCACAGGCATCGCAGGCAGCGCGAACATCTCGCCCAAGCCCCAGGGCATGGTGATGTGGTGGAAGGCCGCCTCGATGTCGACCTGGCTCAGCGACGCTTCGTTGATCGCGGGGGGCTTGGGGCCGTGGTGTCGGGGTCGATGATCTCCTGGTTCACGACTCCCGCATCCAAGACAATCCTGCGCTGATTCCCAGACTTCTCGACAGGGGCAAGGCCAACCGTCGACTTGCGATGGGATAAAACGGAGGCTTTCCTGCGTGATGCATTTCGCTCTAGAAGCGCGTAGTGGCGAGGATGCCGCCAAAGCTTCTTACACGACGAACGAGCTCGCGGCACTGATCAGGGTCAAATGGCAAGCGCTGGCGCCGGTCGCGCCACAACTCGCGCGGTGCCCCGTCAACAGCTCCGAAGCGTTGCACTTCGAGTCGTCGCTGGGCGAATTCGCTCGACATTCGATGCGCGCGATGGACTTCGCAGGGCCGCAATCGTGCCCCGGCGTGCTTCGGCGCAGCTCCGTGAGGGCCGCCACCAGTGTGCAAGAAGGTACACCAAGGGGCTTAATTCGGGTACTCATGTGCTCGATGTCGTAGGCTCGCCCTAGCGTGAAGGCCTCGAAATCGCTGGACGCGTCGCGCCCGTGCAACCAGTTCAGGCCCTGCAGCGCTTCGCATGTCCAACGAGAAGTGAAACAATTATTGGCGAGCGCGGCTTCTCCGATGGCGAGTCGAGGAATCGAAGCCGTCTAAGTCCTCCTCGGTCAGTGAAACTACGGGAATCGGGAACAACTCCCGTGGCACGGCCGTGGCAACTTGCCGTCCGTGGCCGCAGCCGCACCGACCTTGCCCTTTCCCTTCGAGTCCATTGCCGTCAAGTTCTCCTTCAACGTTCTCACTCGCGAGCTTGTCGGCCCGACTCTCAAGGCCAGATCTCTCTTCGCCTCCTGGTCCTGGACCTCTCCCTCTTCCACGTCGAACTGTCGAAACTTGCGCCTCTCCTTCAAGACGCTTGCATTTTTGTGTAACCCATCAGCTACGTAAGTAGACAGAGCTGGTGGAATCAGCATCAATCCGCAAGCCTCGGACGAACCCAATTAAATGTGTTCATCTTCGGCCAACTCGTCGCCGGCCGAACCATGCGAGGAAGATCGAGCGATCCCTGTATTTACACTCGGTCATCGGCGATTTCCTGGAATTCAGCTCGAATGCCACTAACCTCCCTTCAATAAACCTCCCTTTAAAGAAAACGGCCTGTGGCCGAAACCGACGGACCGGGACCCGCAAAAATGACGGCCGCGGCGCCCTGTCGCGAACCGAATACGGCCAATTCGCTAATCGACGTGTCAGGGTAGGAGGTCTATCAACCTCCAACCAGCTCTGAAATCTAACAGGTCAAGCAAGATCCCGATCTGCAGCAAACGGCGGCAGAGCTCGTGAAAATTAACACCAACAGCTGACGCGCGGTCCCTCCGCCCTTGGAGGAGTTTCGCTGCGCCCCTCAGACCGTCGGTATGCATAGCGTGAATAGACACGTCGTTCATTTAATCGTGCTCATTTCTAATCGTGCTCGTTTCTAATTGTTCCTGGCCCCCTGGTGGCCAGGAAGAGACCCAGGATCGAACAATTAGAAAGGAAAGGATCTTTCCCCCACAAAAAAACCTTTTCGAATACTTCGACACGAACAATGTGTACATGCCGCCGTCTGTGGTGAGCATGTAGAAGTCGTTCCTCTCCTCCACTCCTGCTGGATGTGCTGCCCCCTGTCACTGCCTCGTGCTCGCGAACTGCGGCGATGCCCGCGGTGATGCGAGCTTCCCGCGTCCCGCCTGTCCTCCACTTAATCATCTCGGCTCGATCTCGGATCTCCGACGCGGCGGCAGCCGCCATTGAGGCACATGGTGTGCCCAATCATCAAGCCCACTATGAATACAGCTCCGACGGCGGTCCGCACACCGCCGAACACTTGGATCGCGATGGCGCAGTGACCTGCCTCGGAGACCACCCCGCTGTTCAGCACACCCTCCGCGAGCCAGGCGGGAGCCTGGATCGCCGCCTGCGCCGCGGCTGACACGGGCCGATGGCGAATCGACTTGAGCAGGGTTTGGGCGGAGCCCAGGGCCACGGAAAGGACAGAAGGGCAAACACCTTCCAGAGCAGGCTGATGATGGTGGTGATCGGACGAGAGGATGATGAGGAGGAACTAAATGGACTGAGGCGGAATAGGAGAGGGGGAAGATGAGAGGAGGGGGGGGATCGGAGGAGAGGAGAGGAGACGCGTGGTGCTGCGGATTCAAGACGAGGACCCAACACACAGGAGGGTGGGGAACAAGTCGAGATCCTCTTGGAGCCTGGGGGTATTGAAGTCGAATCGGGCGTCGCGGCCAGCTCCAGGTCACCCCGAAACGAGCGCTCAGAGAGCGTTCCGGAAAGGCTCTGGATTATTCTCGTCCTAGGCCTGCCCCTGGGAGCCTCGGCAATGAACGCAGTCAAGCTACTGCTCAATTGAGAACGACGCCCTTTCTGGCCAACAAAAGCGCCTGGGTGCACGACGCGTGCCATAGGAACAACCATTGAAGGACTTAAGGAACAACGAGCTCCTTGCGAGCCCGAGCTGCGTCGTATTTCGGCGTCTTGGCGGTAGGTCCCCCGACCTGGATCCCAGGAGCAGCCCGAAAACCAGAGCCCTCCTGAGCCCGAGGTGCTCCTCACTTCAACGTCCTGGCTGTATCTGCGAGGACGTGCGCCACATGAGCGAACTGACCGCTCTTCCCTGCCCCCTCACAGCCGAGACTCGTGCAACACCGGTCCCCCGAACCTGCTGCGCGCGCCGCTCCGGTAGATTCTTCGAGCCGCGTCCAGCTGCGCCGCCCACCAAGGCCTGACAAACTTTGGGCGGCCTTGGGCACGATGGCGTGTGATGCCAACGGGCACACCAAAAAAACACACGCACAACTGGCTTCCCGCCTGTGCCTTAAGACCAAACGTCTGCTGCTGCCGACGCTGATGGGACGACCGTGACGACGATGCTGGCTCCCGCTGCTGCTGTCGATGATGCGCCACCAGTGCAGGAAGTGGGGGGCGGGGAGCAGGAGGACTGGAGGGAGAGGAGGCGAATGGGGAGGATGAGGGAGAGCAGGAATCGAGAGGGGCTCGGTGAGGACGAGAACGAGGGCGGCGAGGACGACGAGGACGAGGAAGAGAAGGAGCAGGAGTGGTAGTAGGAGGAGGATGCCAAGCGCGCGCTCGAAAGACCACAGCGAACGCGGCCGTGCAGCCAGCCGCCCGCGAGCTCAGCCGAAGAGGTCGAAGTCCACGTCCTCCTCTTCCTCCTCCTCTACGACCTTTGGCGGGGCGCGGAAGGACGGACTTACGGCAATAAGCAACTGCAGTGATGCAAGCTTTCGGAGCTTCGCGCGGAGCTCCAACAACTTAAGTTTATGCAGCGTCCTTGCTTCAATACTGGTGCTGCGCGCCCCCCTTGGAAGCGCACGTCCGACCATAAGGTATCCGCCACCGTGCCGCGAAGGGCACTGGAGTGCCCCCAGGTCCGCTGGACTCCCTAAGCCCCAGAGTTCAATAGTTGAACATTCAAAGCCCAAGAGGCTAAATCGCCAGATTCCTTGGGCGAGCCCGCGTCACTCTTGGGGCTCATCGCAGCCCGAAGACGGACCACTGGGGTCTCAAGAGGCCACCCAGACGGTCCAAGAGGCCTCCGAGACGGCCCACGAGTGCTCCAAGATGCCCCACGATAGTCTTTAGACGGCCCCAGACGTCCCCAAGAAACCAGCAAGAGAGCTCCAACACAGCAAAAGAGAACCCAAAGAAGTTCAAAGATGGCTCCGAGAGAGACTCCCAAGAGAGCCCCAAGACAACCGAAAAGGGCCCCAAGACAGCTCAGGAAGTCCCCAGGAGGAGCCCCAAAGGCGCGCAAGACGTCCCTAAGCCCTCTACCCCATGATGGTCCCAAGATCACCGCAGACGCCCCCTTGGCGCCCCAAGTAGGCCCCGACAGGCTCCGCCCCCAAGAGGTCCCCATCCCAAAAGATCTCCGAGAAGCATCCCAGGAGGCCCTAATACGCATCCAAGAGGCCTTCAACCCACAACCCAATCACGGTGGCGGGATGGGCCGAACGCCCAGAAAAATCCGCCGCCCCCTGCTTGCAGGGGTGCACGGCGTGCTGGACGTTTCAGGTTTTGGTTTTGGTTCTTTTTCCAAAAGAACTTCCCAATGGGCTCCGGCAGAACCCGCCGGCCACCCGGAATTTCCCCAAACGTGCTCAACGACCGCAAACAATCCTCCAAGAACGGCCGTTTCGCTCGGGACATCCTCAAAAAATAGCGAAGATGGCCCAAGATGGCCTCCAAGTCCGCCCGAGATGGTCCAAGACGGCCTCCAAGACGGCCCAAGAGAGTCCAAGACGGCCCAAGACGGCCCAAGAGGCCCCCCAGAGGCCTCCCAGACGGCCCAAGAGGCCTCCAAGAGGTCCTCCAGGAGAGTCCGAAGAGGCCAAAATCATTGATTTTCCTTGGTTTTTGAAGGATTTTGGCATTTGCGCCTTTTCGGCTCTCCGACGGCTCAAGACGGCCCAAGAAGCCCCCAAGATCGCCCAAGAGGCCCCCAAGAGAGCCCCATGATGGCCCAAGTGGCCTCCAAGATGGCCCCTAGAGGGCCCCAAGAGGGCCCAAGAGGCCTCCAACACGCCCAAGATGGCCTCCCAGACGCCCAAGATGGCCTCCAAGACGGCCCTGGAGCATTCCAAGCGGGCCCCAAGTCGGCCCATAGAGGCCCCCCAAACGGCTTCCGACGGCTTCAGACGTGCCAGGAACCCACCAAGATGGCCGAAGTTGGCTCGAAGCTGGCCCGAGACGGCCCAAAGAGCCCCCAAGAGGGCCTCCAGGAAGGCCAAAAGATGCCAAAATCACTGATTTTCCCAAGGTTTTTGATGGATTTGGGCATTTCCCTTTTTTCGGCCTTCCGACGGCCCGAGACGGCCCAAGAGCCCCCAAAGATCGCCGAAAGATCGCCCAAGAGGCCTCCAAGACGGCGACGATGACCATCAAGACGCCCACGTGTTCCCCGAAGGCTTTCCAAACCGATTCGGGGAACACATGGTCCGATGGCTTGGCAGGTCTGGCCTCAACGTTCGGCCACATACGCGCTTCCACAAAGGCAGGGGGCGGCGGTGATTCGCCGTAGGCGTCTTCGATCTAGCAAACGTGGAAAAACAAAAATGCAAAATACTGTTTTCCAAGCGGCATGGCCAAACCACGCCCGCCACCACGGGTCCCATCCCACAAAAAGCTTCAATGTTCGCGTCGCCCCTGCGGAAACGGCGCACTCACACAGTCAATACAAACATGTGTGAATCCGCCCGATCTGGCGTGAGGGAACGGGGGCCCGGTTCGAGCGGGCGCTGGTCCTTGGGCCTGTCCCGAAAGTAACCTTTTCACCCAGAACCGCTTTTGTGCAGTCCCGGTGCCCTTCCCGAAGATGGCGGGTACAATTAGGTCGGGCCTGTCCTCCTACAGGGGGATTTTGGACGCAAAATTAATACCCCCCCCCAAAATCAAACAATCGTCCCCAGACAATTTTTGCCTGTTTTTGAAAATTCCTCCTGTAGAGGGACAGGCCCGACTTAAGGGTCAGTCAATACTCTGAAATGAGGAACACTTTGGGTTCGGAGGGGGCTCGATGTTCTGTAGGTCCTTCCATGGCTGCTCCTCCAGCCCTTCTCGTGGACGAATGCGGTTTTGGGGGCCTGGAAGGGGCTTCGTTCCGTATTCGGCGTATTTCAGCGGCCTGACTGTATCGATCCAGGGCCCTGTTCATGATTGGCTCTTTTCCCAGGAGATCGTCTTTGTTTCTTCGGCGATACTCCAGGGTATCCAGTGGGGGTGCGGGTGTGTGTGTGTGGGGGCCGATAACCTTATCTCTTCATTTTGGGCAGCCCCAAGTTTGCCCGCGCGCACCAATACTGCGTGCCCCCCTTCGCACCTGCGCAACTGACAAAGTCAGGCTATCCGGGTGGGAAGGGGGAGGGCCGACGGGCCGATAACTCGGGTGATCGCCGGACCCTGCAAAAGAACGGTCTCCAATCGTCGGACGATGTGCCTTTTTTCCCCATCAGTGCTTGCACTGACGGGTTTCTAGCGGATGTTGAAAGAATAGGTGAAAATGCGGCGCCGATTTCGATAGGCGGCTGGGTTATGGTTTTTCCGATTCCAGGTTCCGGGTTCCTGATTGCGGGTTCTGGGCCGATCGCGGTCGGCAAGGTTCTGGGCATCTCTGGTCTGGGTCCTGAGTTCCAGGCGCTGGAAGGTTCCCGGGTCTTCGAGTTCATGCTTGCGGCCACGTGTCCTGATTATTGCGACCATGGCCAAAATGGTGAAGTAGAGAGTAACGAACGATAGATACATGTCATATTGTACATCGATGAGCATCTACAACCTACGTTAGCCAGCGTGGAACCCGAACAGTGGTTCCTTGCAACGCATGCGATGCAATCTAGGTGGTGCAATGCATAACAATGCAAAGCAATACGAAGCAATGCAAAGCACTGCCAAGGCAAAGCAAAGCAAACCACGACAACGCACCACAATGTACACCAATGAAAAGAACTGCAACGCAAATAGACGCAACGCAATGCAAAGCAACACAAGACAGAGCGAAACAAGTTGAATTAATGCGTCACCGCAACGCGCATTGCAAAGCAATGCACAACAATGCAGAGACATACGCGGCAATGCCAAACAATGCAGAGCAAGACAAAGCACTGCAATACAAAGCAGTGCAAAGCCATGCAACGCCATGGGAAGCAATGCTACGCGATGCAAAGGTATGCGGGAATGCGAAACAATGCGATACATCGGCGCTAAGAACATGTATACCGTTTTGCGAAGCACGGCTCCGTGCGGTTTGTAGCGCAGCCGCATGACTGCAATGCCGCTGCCAATTCCGGCCCAAACGGCGGGGGGCTGGGCTTCCATTGCACCTGGCCGTTGCGACCAAGCGGGGCGGGGCTTTGATCCCGCCCCCGACTCCGTCGCCCCTGCACTCCCGCTCCCTGATCGGCCCCCGCTGGCCATCTTCGATCTCACGCCGGCCTAGATGGCGACGAGATGCACCGTGGCAAAATAGGAAATCAATCGAATCCGCGCATCATCGTGCGATTGCAGTGCAATGTGATCGCAATGCAACGCGATTGCACCGCACTGCCCTGCACTGCAAGGCATCACGGCGCGAAGCAATGCAAAGCCAAGAGAAGCCATGCCAAGCAAACCAGTGCAGAGCAACGTGGCGACCGGCGGCGAGGAGCCCGCCGGACAGCCGCTGGGGCCCAGCGGCGACGACGGCGACGGGCGGCGCCGCGCCTGCCAAGCCGACACCGGGGCACAGCATGCGACGGCGGCGGAAGGCGGCGACGAGCCGGCCAGACCGACAGCGGGGCCCAGCCACTTGAGAACACAAGCAAAACAACCTAAGTGCAAGCACTGACTGGGGCAGATGTTTGTCCGCCACCGTGCCCTCGTGGCACGAAGTGGGGTATCCTCGGGTCCCTTGTTCGATCCCTGGCACCTCGGTCCTCAATCCTGCGGACTCTTGTAGGGCCCCGTATCCAGAGGCTCTTGCGTTTGCCGCGTCCACTTTTGCGGAGCACTGCTCCGAAAATTCGCCTCGAGCCAAGAGATTCGAACTTCCTCGCTCCCGTTGGCGGGGCGGCGCTCCACTAATCCACCGGCACTTTAGGGCGTAGGTGGTCTTGAGAGCTTTTTCTTCCAACCCCCCTCTCCCCCTTCGGGGAGGTGTTTCCCCCCCCCCATCTGCCCCCTCCCCTGGACCTGAAGGGGGCTCCCCGCGTGGTGTCAGAGGGAGCACGCGACGGCTGCCAGAGCGCCTCCTCGCAATCGCTCGGACGTCCATTCCCTGTGTTTTTTTCGGATTCGTGTGTGGTTTTTTCGCCAATTGATCAAGGATGCTCCTCGATGGTTCTCGCCGAGATAAAAATGCACACGTCCGAGCGATGCCAGGCCTCAGGGGGAGCCCATGACCTCCAAGATGGCTCAGGATGGCCCGAGATGGCTCCCCAGGTGCCCCGAGAATTGTCCCGAGACTGCCCCGGGTGGCCACGGCGCCCCCCCAGGAGGACGCCACGAGGCCAACATCCTTCCTAAACCTACAGGGCAGTTTTTAATACATAGGTTTTTTTTTCTAGAAATGCAGGATTTTTAATACATGACTAGTTTATGCATAAATCTATGCATGAGCTCATCGTTGTTTTGATCTTAAATCCCTGCATTCTTAATACATGATCCGCACGCGGAGCATGTATTGAAAACGGCA